GTCAACATCTCTCTTGAGTTGTGGTGCCCAGAATTGGACACGATATTCCAGGTGTGGTCTAACCAAAGCGGAATGGAGCACGGGGAGCATGACTTCCCTGGACCTAGACACTATGCTCCTATTGATGCAGGCCAAAATCCCATTGGCTTTTTTTGCCGCCACATCACATTGTTGGCTCATGTTTAACTTGTTGTCCACGAGGACTCCAAGATCTTTTTCACACGTCCTGCTCTCGAGCCAGGCATTCTCCCCCATTACATATCTTTGCATTTCGTTTTTCCTGCCAAAGTGGAGTATCTTCCAAAGTCTGTCAGCTTCCTGCCTGGGGGAATCCTTGCAACAGAATCCATCCTCCATGGGTTTGGGGCAAATCTCATGAAGATGCTGGAAGGTGTCCTCCCAAAAGCGCCTTCTTTCCAGCTTGCAATCTGTTGCCTTTCATCCAAACCTGGGCCAAATTCACCCTTGGAGACTCCTGTTCTTTAATTGTAAACACAAGTAGGATAATACAAATTTGTTTTGTTTTCATTGTTCGTCGTCTATGTTTTTGCTTTGTTGTATACAGGCATTGAATGTTTGCCTGTGTACCAAGTTTGGTTCAGTTCTATCCTTGGCGGGGTTCAGAATGCTTTTTGATTGTAGGTGAACTATAAATCCCAGCAACTACAACACCACCAAAACCTTCCAGTATTTTCTGTTGCCATGGGAGTTCTGTGTGCTAGGTTTGGTTCAATTCCATTGTTTGTGGAGTTCAGAATGCTCTTTGATTGTAGTTGAACTATAAATCCCAGCAATTACAACTCCCAAATGTCAAGGTCTATTTTCCCCAAACCCCACCAGTGTTCATATATGGACATATTAAGTATTCATGCCATGTTTGGTCTAGATTCATCATTGTTTGAGTCCACAGTGCTCTCTGGAAGTAGGTGAACTACAACTCCAAAACTCAAGGTCAATGCCCACCAAACCCTTCCAGTATTTTCTGCTGCCATGGAAGTTCTGTGTGCCAAGTTTGGTTCAATTCCATCATTGGTGGAGTTCAGAATACTCTTTGATTGTACGTGAACTATAAATCTCAGCAACTACAACTCCCAAATGTCAAGGTCTATTTTCCCCAAACCCCACCAATGTTCACATTTGAGCATATTGAGTATTCATGCGAAGTATGGTCCAGATCTATCATTGTTTGAGTCCACAGTGCTCTCTGGAATTAGGTGAACTACAACTCCAAAACTCAAGGTCATAGAATCATAGAATCAAAGAGTTGGAAGAGATTTCTTGGGCCATCCAGTCCAACCCCCTGCCAAGAAGCAGGAATATTGCATTCAAATCACCCCTGATAGATGGGCATCCAGCCTGTTTAAAAGCTTCCAAAGAAGGAGTCTCCACCACACTCCGGGGCAGAGAGTTCCACTGCTGAATGGCTCTCACAGTCAGGAAGTTCTTCCTAATGTTTAGATGGAATCTGAATGCCCACCATGGTGGTGGGAGTTCTGTGTGCCAAGTTTGGTTCAATTCCATCATTGGTGGAGTTCCGAATACTCTATGATTGTAGGTGAACTATAAATCCCAGCAACTACAACTCCCAAATGTGAAGCTCTATTTTCCCCAAACGTCACCAGTATTCACATTTGGACACATTGAGTATTTGTGCCAGGATTTGGTCCAGATCCATTATTGTTTGCGTCCACAGTGCTCTCTGGAAGTAGGTGAACTACAACTCCAAAACTCAAGATTAATGCCCACCAAACCTTTCCAGTATTTTCTGCTGCCATGGAAGTTCTGTGTGCCAAGTTTGGTTCAATTCCATCATTGTTGGAGTTCAGAATACTCTTTGATTGTAGGTGAACTATAAATCTCAGCAACTACAACTCCCAAATGTCAAGGTCTCCGCCAGTGTTCATATTTGGACACATTGAGTATTAGTGCCAAGTTTGGTGCAAATCCATCATTGTTTGAGTCCACAGTTCTCTCTGGATGTAGGTGAACTACAACTCCAAAACTCAAGATCAGTGCACGCTCTTTGATTGTAGATGAACTATAAATCCCTGCAACTACAACTCCCAGATGACAAAATCAATCCCCTCTGCAACCACACCAGTATCCAAAATTTCCAGTATTTGTGCCAAATTTGGTCCAGTGAATGAAAATACATCCTGCAAATCAGATATTTACATTGCGATTCATAACACTAGCAAAATGACAGTTATAAAGTTGCAACAAAAATGTTATGGTTGGGGGTCACCACAACATGAGGAACTGGATTAAGGGGTCTAGAAGCATTCTCTCCTGATGTTTCGCCTGCATCTATGGCAGGCATCCTGAGAGGTTGTGAAGTCTGTTGGAAACTAGGAAAATGTGGTTTATATATCTGTATATATAATTGTTGTTCATTCGTTCAGTCGTCTCCGACTCTTCGTGACCTCATGGACCAGCCCACGCCAGAGCTCCCTGTCGGCCGTTACCACCCCCAGCTCCCTCAAGGTCAGTCCAGTCACTTCAAGGATGCCATCCATCCATCTTGCCCTTGGTCGGCCCCTCTTCCTTTTGCCTTCCACTTTCCCCACCATAATTGTCTTCTCTAGGCTTTGCTGTCTCCTCATGATGTGGCCAAAGTACTTCAACTTTGTCTCTACTACCCTTCCCTCCAGTGAGCATTCGTTCTTTATTTCCTGGAGGATGGACTGGTTGGATCTTCTCGCAGTCCAAGGCA